GGCAAAACAACTTTACAGATGCCAGGAAAACATCTGCTGCTGGATTTTTGTTTTTGTGTTTTGTCATATTAATGTTATTTATCATGACAACAAGGAGGCTGATTTGCATCATTTGAGTTTTGTGCCTGTCTGAACAAACAGTGTGTTCCTCTCTGTCTGTTTTATTGGTGTTACTGTTGAAATCAGTATGACAGCATCTTCAAGAATGTGTCAAACATAAAATGTTTTTCTTTCTTTTCATTGGAAATCTGGGTGACGCTAAAGTTTGGGGGCGAGTACAAAATTCCGATTTTGACATCCTTTATCTGTACTAGTGCATGTTAGAGTAAGAAGGGAAAATGATGGGGTCACTGTTTATTAACTTTCCCACAATGTATATTATGTAATAGTTCACTTTAGCAGGAAGACACCACCTTACTCCGCACCGCCGTCTGCTCTGCTACATGTGCTGCAGCCACTGCTTAGACTGAAGTATAAAGTCAGAGCTGCTCCGCTGGATAAACTCTGTGATGAAACGATTTCCAAATTATTCCAAGCAAAGGTTTAATATCAGCACATATCATTGATATCTGGCTCTGTTATTTATACAACTTGTTCTTGTACAGTTTCAGATTCAGACTTTTGGTACATTTGCTGTCAATTTGCTTATTCATCACTTGATATCAGCGCTCTGTATCATATAAATTAAACTCTATCAGGCCTTAACCATCACCACATGATTCCAGTTAAATTCTAATAACAGCCTTGTTGTTTTTGCACGATGAGAGAAACATGTTTTTCATGTTTTATGTGTCACTTACTGACAGAAATCAGTAATTCTGCCTTTTCTGATGGTGCTGATATGTTTCGGGTGGAGTCACAGCTCACCTGTCAGCTTGTCCGTGATGTTATCCGTGTCCTCCCCTAAACCCTGAGGGCTGCAAGTCAGAGACACACTCTGTCTTTTTCCCTTCCTCCCCCGTCTGTCTGTCTGTCTGTCTGTCTGCCTGAGATTTGGGGTTATACGATACAGCTGCAGTGCGAGGACCAGCGGTCACCCCTCAAACACAGGAAATCCCCTTACTTCTGCTTCGCGGCTCTGTTGTGGCCGCATGTCTGTGTGTACATTTCTGCGGCACGGATCCCGTGTGCATGTGCCAGAGTCGGACGGGGTTTTTTTGATTTTTCAGGAGGGGGGTTACAGTCCTCTGCAGGGCCGAGCGGCAGACCGACCGACTGACCGACCGACCGCAGTCCCGAGGGAACACACAAGAAAAGTTAAAACAAACACAGCCACGGCCTTTTTCTCAGGACACTCAGACACTCCTATTGGCCGACCCACGCCGGAGCCCTGCTCCTTCATTGGCCCTCCCCTCCTCTCTGCTTTTCTCTTTAAGCAAGTTTGGAGGTTTGGCCTCTGAACTCTGACCCTTTTGGGAAAGTTTTCTAAAGAGACCTGGTGAGAGGCGAAGTTCCTCCCTGGAATGTCTTGATTTGGGTCACTTTCCTTTCTCCTCTACTGTCCTCTTTGGCTGCTTTACAAGCCTTTTAGCCTCTTAAGCGAGTGAGAGAGTGAAGGCTTACGTTATCCTGATGAATGACAAGCCTCCTCGCAAAGTTTCACTGGCTGATTTAAAGTCAGTTTACCCCAAATCCAATCGCTTTTCATCGCTGCGAGCACCACAAACAAAATCCTTTATATTATGGTGGCGGCAGAAAGCTCCAAATCCCAAAACTATCTACATGACCAGACACAGTGAGAGGTTAAGGGAGGAAAGTGTGTAATTTAGTGATTTAGGAAGAAGCTCTTCACATCTTCCCCTCAGTGTGATGATCCATTAGATGTCGACCTTGCCGGCACTGCGTTTGGCACCGCTTCCTGCCCGCGGTCGATGTCTCCGTCTCCTGTGATTGGCCGTAAAGGCCTCGACGGTTGTTAACTGGCGGGTTGCTTTGCCAGCGGGAGGCTGTGGGCTGGGCCACGCCGCTTGGCCTGATCTCTAATTAGCACTGGCTTGTCAGTTAGTCAGGGTGGATCTGTCTGGGAAATTGCAGTCTTGCACACACAGACAGACCATAGCTGGGAAAACACACAGCAGAGCGACAGTGGGATGAGGATTGTCCTTTAAGTTTTGAAGGCAGTTTGTCTGTGATCATGTGGCTTTCGACTTGTGTTTGCCGCCTGATTCTTGTCAGGCTGAAGTGGCTTATTTAGGGCTCGGGGTGTGTTTCCACTGTGTTTCCAGTGTGCGCTATTAGTGGCTCGGCTGCAGCAGTGAAGTGGTTAACAGTCCCGGGGGAGGCTCATGTTACCAGCAGCGAGGGCAGGTCCTTCCCTCTCGTCTCCCCCCCTGGTTTCTCCCTCCCTGTTAGTCCAGAGAGAGACGAACTGTGCCCGAGGGATGAAGCATCAGTGCAGCGAGTGACAAAGGAGCTCGATCTAGGAACTCTGCCAGGGCCAGAGAGGGACGAGAGACATTGAGAGAGCTCAGAGAGGGAGAGAGAGAGAGAGAGATTTGTCTGTGTGAACTCTCATGGAGTCATGAAGCTCTCAGTCCAGCTTGGCATTTTCCCCCAGCGCTCTGGTTCCCACGGCAACCCAGGCACCCTGACCAGGTAGATACCTATATATATATATATGCATGTGTGTGTGTGTGTGTGTGCACAAAGAAGCTCCTAACACTTCAGCTCTATCCAGAAAGCCCTGACATCATTGTGGGTTCTGATATTCTCCAGCTCTGCACTAATCTTTATTTTCTTTTTGTGAATTTATACATGCGTGTGTGGGAATTTCCCCCCGTGGCCGTACGGATGAGTTGAAACACTTGTGGTCACTCTAAATCTCTCAGCACCTCTCAGCTCCACGGATGCTTTCAACTCTCCGCTCCGTTTCTTCCTCTCTTCTCTCCTCTCCTCTCCCCCTCTCTCCCCGTGATTGATCGCGCTGGTGAATCCGCAAGGAAGTTTTCGCTCTGCCTCTGTTTGTCAGGTTGTTAGCGAGGCGGCTCAGCAGAAAGGCAGCAGATGTGTTTTGGTTTGAGGAACTCCTGCTGCTTGGGTTTCGGCGGTGATCTGAATCTGGGATTTTTTGACCGTTCTTTTGTTTGTGTTTTGTTTTTTCAAAGCCATAATTATGATGTGCGCTCATGCGTTTATGGGAAACACTGAGGACGTCCAAGTTGGCTACTGAGGGCTGCTGCACTGCGCTGACTTGCTGTTTTGTGTGTGTGTAAGAAATCAAACCTGAAAGATGAATGATGAATCAGAACAGATGTGAATGAATGTTACACCTAAAATCAAACTATTTTTGGATTCTCAGTCCTAAATATAAACCCTATATTCAGACAATATTGCAGGATTAAGGAGTTAAATGACAGTTTGTAGATAATTCATGCTGCTAAAACTCTAATATCAACAATCAGATATTTCACATGATGTCCAGTCTCTCTAGTGCACAGATTTTAACTTTGTTGTCACTGATTAGATGAAAATAAATTAAAGTCTCTGGATCAAGCTGCTTAATGTGAAGATTTGCAGCTTTTCTCTGCTTAATACCAATGGACACTAAATATGTTTAGGCTTCAAACAGTCAGATTGATTTATTTGACGGATTAACTGATCAGGAAAATGAACATCAGCTGCAGCTCTGTTGGAACAAAACTGGTCAGCTAGTGTTTGTGTTGTTGTTGTTGTCGAAACACTTTCTTGACAGGGTATTTCGGTGTCATTAATCTTTACTGAAACCCCGATGAGTGTTTAAAAAAAAAAAAAATGCAGCTAGTTTGACAACAACCGGCTCTTGTGTGTGTTTGCATGTGTGTGTCCTGTGTGTCGCAGCCAACCCTGCACTGGCCGCCACCATCAGCCTCCCTCTGGTCCTTTCAGAGCCGTGTTTGCCAAGTGGCCGAGCTTCCTGCCGCCCCCCCACCC